TGGTCCAAAGACACCTGCTCAAGTAAAGAACATTTTATTCCATTTTTTATCTGATTTAACCTCAATGATTCCTCAAAGCAATAAGTAAACACTGGGGATAAGAAAACACTTTCAGTATAATTATTAGCAAACTAGTCGATGAATCATTCAGCATCCATTGGAATCTGTCCAGCCACACGTTGCAATTCTGCAACATTGAAATAGAGCTGACCCTGGGGAGAAATCCAGAGGTGATAAAAGTTACTAATTGGCATGAACTGTATCAGTGTATATTCATCTTTCATTTTATACAGTTTTGGTTTCAAATGATTAGAGGCTGGAAGTGATACTGAGTTGAAATTGATGCCTAGAAAATTGTTTTGGTGAAACATGGAGACTGACATTTGGGAAGTGAGACAGCGGCGCCCCCTGGTGAGCAGGTGGAAACTGTGTGTTGCTAAAGCTCAACAGAGTCCAGTAGTGGTACTTCTGAGTAAAACAGGGTCAAAAATATGGATGTGGAGTATTTAGGTAATAAACAATTAGGCTGTTGCAAATCTGCTGCTTTATTCTCTGATCTGTGTTGGTGAATCGACAACTCGTTAAAGTCCTCAGAAATAACTGCTGTGAGAATTTAGGGATGTACAGAAATAATTGAATTGGAAAGTTGAATGTACTTCCAGATGATTCCTGATTTCTTTTATGAATTTGTAATGCGGAGTAAGACTAATTGTGAAGACATGATTGTGATGTGGGTTTTAAATGTTAGACTTTCGGTTAAATTCATATCACTAGTTCCTGTCGCTAAAACAGTTTGCTTCTGTGCCTAGTTTTTAAATAGGTCAGCGTTGTCTGTCAGCCAATCAGCTCTCAGCTAATCAGCTCTCAGCCAATCAGCTCTCAGCCAATCAGCTCTCAGCCAATCAGCTCTCAGCCAATCAGCTCTCAGCCAATCAGCTCCCAGCTAATCAGCTCTCAGCCAATCAACTCTCAGCCAATCAGCTCACAGCTAGTCAGCTCTCAGCCAATCAGCTCTCGGCCAATCAGCTCTCAGCCAATCAGCTCTCAGCCAATCAGCTCCCAGCTAATTAGCTCTCAGCCAATCAGCTCTCAGCCAATCAGCTCTCAGCTAGTCAGCTCTCAGCCAATCAGCTCTCAGCCCAAAGCGTACGCTCATTTTGTTACAAGTTTGCTAAAGATAAAGGTCACACTTTAGTTTAGCCCTCACTAATTAACAACAAATTAAGTGCTTATCTGTGTATAATCTATGGTTAATTAGCTTTTAATTGGTTATTTATTAAGCACTTTTTTAGTCCATATTCTACATGGTCTCGTTGAGAATTTAACTAAATACTAACTGACACTTTCCCATGTGGGTTAGAGTAAGCATTAGGGTTAAGGCTAGGGTTAGGATTAGGAATAAGTTTAGGGTTAGGGCTAGGGTTAGAGTTAGGGTACACTAATGATCACTTAGTTAGCTAAAGGCTAATCTAAAGTGTCACCAAGATAAGATGGAGCCTCCTCCACTGTATTCTGTATTTCACACAATATGTTGACACAGATGGATGGAGTGGAATTTGACTTGGATGAGATGATAGCAGTAAAACAAACTTGTGACCTAAAATATCATTTGAAGCCAAACGCTAGAATAAAATACCTCTATATATTCCTTTGTCTGTTTTCTGCCTTAAAAAAAAACCTCAATTCTGTACTAACTTTGAATACTGAATAATGAATCCTCAACATTGTTGTCTAGGCCCTGTCTCAATGAAAGTAATTATATTTTAGTAAAATATTTAGAGAAATACAATGACAAGCTTTTGTAATCTTATCTTGGAATCCTCTGATCCAGTTCAGTGTCCTCCACACTAAGAACCAAATATTCTTCTTTTCTCTGGTCACAGAAGTTTAACACATCCTCCAGAAAGGAACACGAGAGCTTTGTGAATTCAATACTTCACAGTTTGAGCTATTGATTTCTTACTAATTACTGTAATAGATATAAGTATAAAACAGTCAGATACATACCGTGTTCTCCTGGCTTTCCCGTCTGACTTGTTCTGGGTGGAGTTCAAACCATATTTTACTGTGTACTATTATTAAAGTTATTGCTATTTTATCAGGGGAAAAAGACACCGATTTCTCTTGGTAAAACAACAATGTTACTGCTATGACCAGGTGGATGGTGAAGACTCAGGTTGTTGTCACATGTTCAGGTTAAAACACATTGTGATTGCAGTTAAATATAAATCTATAAATAGTTGTGCGGCTTCGGACACAATGGAAGTATTTGCTCTCACTTTTCCAGATGGGTTTTTGAGTGGTGTTTGTGTGTTTGTTATCTTTGTGTATGCTGTGTTCAAACTGTTTGATTCTCTGATCTGTTGTTGAGGAATCCACAACTTTGTAAAGTCCTTCAAGACAACTGTGATTCAGGGCGTTACATAAACACATTGAATTTAATATTACAGTACTTTGGTCTGAACTTTAATACTTTCTAGCCTTAAAACTGTAGTAATTTTGTAAAATAAAGAAATAAAAAAAGTTAGTAAAGTTGAACTAGGAACAAGGTCAGCATCTCTCGTTTTCCATTTGAACATCCATCTTTGAGCATGTTTGTGAAGCACATTGTTATCACAGAGGTTTATTCTGTGTTTTGTTGTTCAGCTGTTACTACACAGACTTTACTGCTGTATTTTCACGTGTGGATAAACGAGCTCTGTTCAAAGTACACACTTTACATTACTAGTAACACGTTTTTCTGTCTGTCACAAAAAAGAAAATGATTGTAATTTACAGTGCCTTGCGAAAGTATTCGACCCCCTTGAACCTTTCAACATTTCACCACATTTCAGGCTTCAAACATAAAGATATAAAATTTTAATTTTTTGTCATGAATCAACAACAAGTGGGACACAATCGCGAAGTGGAACGAAATTTATTGGATAATTTAAACTTTTTTAACTAATAAAAAACTGAAAAGTGGGGCGTGCAATATTATTCGGCCCCTTTACTTTCAGTGCAGCAAACTCACTCCAGAAGTTCAGTGAGGATCTTTGAATGATCCAATGTTGTCCTAAATGACTGATGATGATAAATAGAATGCACCTGTGTGTGATCAAGTCTCCGTATAAATGCACCTGCTCTTTGATAGTCTCAGGGTTCTATTTAAAGCGCAGAGAGAACCATGAAGACAAAGGAACACACCAGGCAGGTCCGAGATACTGTTGTGGAGAAGTTTAAAGCCGGATTTGGATACAAAAAGATTTCCCAAGCTTTAAACATCTCAAGGAGCACTGTGCAAGCAATTATATTGAAATGGAAGAAGTATCAGACCACTGCAAATCTACCAAGACCCGGCCGTCCCTCCAAACTTTCATCTCAAACAAGGAGAAGACTGATCAGAGATGCAGCCAAGAGGCTCATGATCACTCTGGATGAACTGCAGATAACTACAGCTGAGGTGGGAGAGTCTGTCCATAGGACAACAACCAGTTGTGCACTGCACAAATCTGGCCTTTATGGAAGAGTGGCCATTTCTCAAAGATATCCATAAAAAGTCTGGTTTAAAGTTTGCCACAAGCCACCTGGGAGACACACCAAACATGTGGAAGAAGGTGCTCTGGTCAGATGACACCAAAATCGAACTTTTTGGCCACAATGCAAAACGATATGTTTGGCGTAAAAGCAACACAGCTCATCACCCTGAACACACCATCCCCACTGTCAAACATGGTGGTGGCAGCATCATGCTTTGGGCCTGCTTTTCTTCAGCAGGGACAGGGAAGATGGCTAAATATGATGGGAAGATGGATGGAGCCAAATACAGGACCATTCTGGAAGAAAACCTGTTGGAGTCTGCAAAAGACCTGAGACTGGGACGGAGATTTATCTTCCAACAGGACAATGATCCAAAACATAAAGCCAAATCTACAATGGAATGGTTCACAAATAGACGTATCCAGGTGTTAGAATGGCCAAGTCAAAGTCCAGACCTGAATCCAATCGAGAATCTGTGGAAAGAGCTGAAGACTGCTGTTCACAAACGCTCTCCATCCAACCTCACTGAGCTCGAGCTGTTTTGCAAGGAAGAATGGGCAAGATTTCCAGTCTCTCGATGTGCAAAACTGATAGAGACATACCCCAAGCGACTTGCAGCTGTAATTGCAGCAAAAGGTGGCGCTACAAAGTATTAGCGCAAGGGGGCCGAATAATATTGCACGCCCCACTTTTCAGTTTTTTATTTGTTAAAAAAGTTTAAATTATCCAATAAATGTCGTTCCACTTCACGATTGTGTCCCACTTGTTGTTGATTCTTGACAAAAAAAATATTTTTTATATCTTTATGTTTGAAGCCTGAAATGTGGCGAAATGTTGAAAGGTTCAAGGGGGCCGAATACTTTCGCAAGGCACTGTAAATCCACACGATTAGATTACTCCATGAGCAAGAGGCAGCAAGTCCTGTGTGCAGAGTCTGCTTTACTTCGTGCTTTTGAGCTGGACTTCAATCAATTTACTTTTTATTTATAAAACCCTTTTCATAAAAATGTTTTTTATTACATCCTTTTTAACAGACTCGTTGCGAATTGTCGCCTCCTAGTGGACAAAGTGTATAGCTACAGTCCAGCATTATCCACAGTCACGGTTTGTCAGCATTTGTAACAGCGGGAAGGGTTTTTCTCTCCATTCAAGTTTAAAACATGCATAAAAGGTAAAACTAAACTATAGATATTAGTATAATATAATATTATTATAATACATAACGTTATTATTATTACTAAACGCGTGGTACGTCATTGTGAAGGTCGTGTCAAGTTATCCAATTGCATCACTTCTTTGTCAGCCAGTAACCAATCAGGAAGGAGAATGCTGGGTGGTCCCCGTGGCTCTTCCGGTTTTGGTGAAAACACATGACATTTAGATGGCAACCCGATTATCACGAAAAAGAGCATCATTTGAGTTAAAAACGTGAAAAGTAATCAGCGGGTTCTGTTCGGGATCACAGCGGGCTCAGGGCAGACATGTGGCGGCTGTCGAGGACCGCGCTGGGGGCAGGGCTCCGGTGAGTTTGAATGAGTTTGTGCTAAAAAGTGTAATTTAATAATTATTATTATACATTTATATCGCGCGTTTTGTTGGCTCTCAGGGTCGCCTTATAAACGGTGGCGATGCATTATTTAATAATAATAATTTCATATTAATAATGTAACTGTTTTATACAATGCTTTTTCATTCAAAGACCTTACAATTGTTACATCCATCCATCCATCCATTTTCTACCCTTTAATCCATTTCTGGGTCAGGGGGGTGGCAATCAGAGATGCCACCCAAGTCTCATAGCACCAGCCCCTCACTGACCCTCTGCAGGTGGTGAGTCCACAGGAGGACGGCTGCTCTCTGAGTGTGAGCATAGCCTTAATCTTTCAGCGGGGGCTTTGGGCAAAGTGGGGTTAAGTGTCTTGCCCAAGGACACAACGACAGCAGTCATCAGTGGGAGTCGATGGAGAAGGTGCAGAGGTGGGAATTGAACCCACGACCTTCTGGCCTTAAGGCTAATGCTCTACCAACTGAGCTACTGTCGCCCCACAATTGTTACAGTTACAGTTCATTCACTGTTTCACTGTGGTGATACACTGCTTTTGTAGCCACAGCTTCCCTGGGGCACACTGACAGATGCGAGGCAACCAGTCTGTGCCATCGGCCCCTTCTACTACTAACAACCACTCATACACACACCAGACTCATTCTAAATTGGGGGAAGTGTCTTGCCTAAGGAAACAACCATAGTCTGGCACTTTAGAGCCACAGCCGCCCCACTGTGGCACCCTGTGGCCCCACAGGTCTCCCATCACAGTACTATCCAGGCCCTTAGCTTCAGAGCTGTAACAGGATCTGGTTTTCACCTGTATGGCCTGCTGTGTAACATGTTAAGCGTTTTTGAGTACACAAAAGAGCACTATAAAAAAAACTGGGAAAACTGCGGGCTGGGAGCTACATGCGGTCCCTTTCATGTTTTTATGTGGCCCCGGACGCTTCGAGCTGTTTGTTTTGAGCATGTTTTCTAATGAGATAATGTGTTTGTTCAGACTTGGTGGAGTTTGCAGACTCAGCAGTTCCTCCGCTGCAGACAGAGCTCTGCAGTTTGAACCCGGACAGAAGATCCATGGCTTCACCGTCAAAGAGGTGAACCCTGACTCTGACCCTCGTCCTGTTTATTCTGTCAACGGGATCTGGTCCCGTTTTGGTGAAAATGTTGTTTGAATAAATAAATAAGGGTCTTTTTTTTTTATGTTTTTTTTTTTAATATTTATTGGGACATTCTTTACTCACATTTGGTCCCAAATATTTTTCCCTTTTATGCCCCAGTGGAGTTTGACCAAGGCAGGACATAGCTGCAAGCTGATTCTCATCCATAGTCCCAGGGCAGAGGCAATGTCACAGCAGTTTTACAGTGTGCAAAAAACTTTAAATGGCCGGATTAGCATCTAAAATACAGGTAAAATGTAGCACCCTCGTGTGGTCTGCAGGTGGCGCCGGTCCCGGATCTCTTCCTCACGGCGGTGAAACTCACTCATGATCAAACTGGAGCTCAGTATCTACACGCAGCCAGAGACGACAGCAACAACCTGTTCAGGTCCAGAGCCCTCTCCTCTCTCCTTCTCTCCCCTCTCCCTCTTCTCATCTCATCTCCTCCTGTCTCCTCTTTCTCTCCCCTCTATCTCCCTCTCCTGATTCCTTTTCCTCGCTCCCTCTCCTCTCTCTCCTCTCTCTCCTTGCTCTCTCTCTTCTCACCTCCCTCCCCTCTCTAACCTCCCCCCTCCCCTCCTCTCTCTGTGCAGTGTCCAGCTCCGCACCACGCCCCTGGACAGCACTGGGGTCCCTCACATCCTGGAGCACACGGTCCTCTGCGGCTCTGAGCGCTTCCCCGTCAGAGACCCCTTCTTCAAGATGCTCAACCGCTCCCTGTCCACCTTCATGAACGCCTTCACAGGTAAAACTCCGCGGCTCCGACAGACAAAACGGCAAAAGTCAAAGAACTGCAGCAAATAAAAACTAAGATTTTACCGGAAATATTAAAGTTTGTAGATAAATAAATAAACAAATAAAGGAAAATCTGAAACTCCTTTATTGTTCCAGTGGGGAAATGTCAATGTCATCGTTACGCACATTACAGCAGAGAAAAATAAGGAAAAAAAAGACTCAGATTGCACACATTAAACCGGGTCTATTATTTAGAATGATAAATAATGTAATTAAAGTAATAAAATAATGAGTTATAACATCGTAAAATTGAATAAAATAAAATAAAATAAAATGAGAGCTGTATAACTCATATGTGCAGTGCGTTATTAACTAAATCTATTATTGTTATTATGAAGTACTGTAAAACTACAAATACATTTATAAAAGTTAAAATACTACAAAGATCAAAGTAGTTCTTCTCACTCCTCTTTCCTTTAGTCAGCATAAAATATTTTACATTAAATGCTGAGAGATTAAAGAAAGGTATGAAAACAAAGAACTCTGGGTGTGAACTTTGAAGCACTGCGTCAGTAACAGAGTTGGGTAAGTTACTTTGGAAATGTAATTAGTTACTAATTACTTTCTAAAAATTACTAGTTACGTCTAATTAAAAAAAGTTGTTTCATTATTTAGTTTCTTCCCAAAGTAAGTAAATAAGTTACATTACTTTTGGATTACTTTGTCACAAACAGAACAGAATCAAGATTAGATTTATTAAAGTCATTTACATAAAGATTGACCATAAATAAGTTTAAAAGTGGCTCAAACCGACTCTGTTCCATCTGCGCTCTGTGACTCTACAGTATGTTCAGAATCTCTTCACTACAAGCTTATTTATATATAAAAATATCTCAGTCTTTGAGGTTTGATCTGCGTCATTCAAGTCCAGGTGTCGCAGCGACGCTCTTTAGCCGCTAGCTTAAAAGTTTTTTGAATTTACTCATTTATTTGAGTAGTAACTGTGATATATTTACTCATATTTTCATAATGACCCGTTACTAAGCAACACTGGTCACGACAACAATGGCTGAAGCGTATTCTTGTTCCTTGATTCTGTTTTTTTCCGTCTGCAGCGAGCGACTACACCATGTACCCGTTCTCCACGCAGAACGCCACAGACTTCCGGAACCTCCTGTCCGTCTACCTGGACGCCGTCTTCTTCCCCTGTTTACGGGAGCAGGACTTCTGGTACTGCACTCACTGTTCTGAAGGATGCTAAGCTTTCGAAATACCGAGCCAGAGGGGGCGCCGTAGAGCAGGCAGAGGCTCGGTGTGATAAATGTGTAAAGCTTGGGTCCCTGACTTTCACAACCACAACAACAGAACTCTGCTGTCAGTATTTCAGCAGGAGCCAACACTGCTCTATGGAAAGAAGTCTCGTTGCTTATTCAGATCACTATTTGACAAATTGTGCGCCGCGGTGTAGAGCCTTAATTAAAGCTGGGGTGTGTAACTATCAGACCACAATGATCTTTTTTGTTTTAGGCCTGGTCTAGGTCTAAATCCGACCTGAGCACTAATATTATGTATAGTTAAGTTCATATTTTTGACCCTGGCCTCCACAGCATTGTCTCTTTCTCATGTCTGATAGTTTCCCACCCCTGGTCTAGGTCTTGGTCTTGGTCTTGGTCCTGGTCTTGGACTTGGTCTCTTTCTAGTCTTGGTCTAAACAGTTTTATCACAAAGGAAGGACATTTTAGTTTTGGGCTGGACTTGGACTTATACTTGGTCTTGGACTTGGACTTGGACCTGGACCTGAACCTGGTTGTGGGTCGTGGTTTATGTCTGGTCTGGGTCTGGGTCTTTGTCTTGTTTTTACATCTTTTAGATAAGCTTTTTCAGACTGGAAAGTGAAAAAGCGAGGACCCCCCCTCTCTCGGCCAATCAGCTCAAAGCCCAAACTTTCAGGGCGTTTCCTTGCACTAAAGATAACATTATTGCTCTTTAATGAGATCGAGATGGCATATTGTGGTCTGCTTTGATTTGACTTTTACTCAACTCTCTCTGTCGGACAAACGTCTCAATGATGAATCCTATAAAAGTTAGGTACCTCAGCTTTAAGTGAGTGTGACTCTTGTGGATGTGTTCTCAGGCAGGAGGGCTGGAGGCTGGAGAACCAGGACCCCAATGACCCCGAGTCTCCTCTGGTTTTTAAAGGGGTCGTCTTCAATGAAATGAAGGGAGCGTTTGTGAGTGACACCAACACAACTACACTAACCCTCACCCTAACTGAGACCAGAGAGCGAGAGACCAGAGAGCGAGAGACCAGAGAGCGAGAGACCAGAGAGCGAGAGACCAGAGAGCGAGAGACCAGAGAGCGAGAGACCAGAGAGCGAGAGACCAGAGAGCGAGAGACCAGAGAGCGAGAGACCAGAGAGCGAGAGACCAGAGAGCGAGAGACCAGAGAGCGAGAGACCAGAGAGCGAGAGACCAGAGAGCGAGAGACCAGAGAGCGAGAGACCAGAGAGCGAGAGACCAGAGAGCGAGAGACCAGAGAGCGAGAGACCAGAGAGCGAGAGACCAGAGAGCGAGAGACCAGAGAGCGAGAGACCAGAGAGCGAGAGACCAGAGAGCGAGAGACCAGAGAGCGAGAGACCAGAGAGCGAGAGACCAGAGAGCGAGAGACCAGAGAGCGAGAGACCAGAGAGCGAGAGACCAGAGAGCGAGAGACCAGAGAGCGAGAGACCAGAGAGCGAGAGACCAGAGAGCGAGAGACCAGAGAGCGAGAGACCAGAGAGCGAGAGACCAGAGAGGAGAGACCAGAGAGCGAGAGACCAGAGAGCGAGAGACCAGAGAGCGAGAGACCAGAGGGCGAGAGACCAGAGGGCGAGAGACCAGAGGGCGAGAGACCAGAGGGCGAGAGACCAGAGGGCGAGAGACCAGAGGGCGAGAGACCAGAGAGCGAGAGAGATAGTCCAGCGAGAGAGAGACCAGAGATAATTAATAATTTAGATTACCTGATGCCGCGCTGATGACTTTATTATTATTAGTTTATTTGATATGGACATATCAACTGCATTGGACAAACCAGATACATTGTTTCCAGTGTTATAGCAAAACTGCTAATTTGCAACACCTGTCCATAGGAGGCTACACATTTCAAAAAACACAATACAATACAGTACAATATTTAAAAAGGTAAACAATACACAATTACACATCATCAGTATACATTTCATACAGTGTTACCATGTGAGCAGTTTTGATTTGACTTCAGCCATTGTTTCAGACCTCTGTAAAAACTGTTCATGTCAGTCTGCAGTTTTAAATCAGTGGGCAGAGAGTTCCACAGTCTGGATCCATTAAAAGAGAAACTGGACTGTCCAAAAGATTTTGTAAATTTTGGGAGAACACAGTCCCCACTCACCGAGGCTCTGGTGAGTGGAGATTCCGATTATCTTCAGAGCTTCAGATTATTATCATTTATTTATTTACATATTGTTGACATTTCTTCCTTGAACATCACCGTGTGTTCGTGTCGCAGTCTGACAGTGAGCGCCTCTACGCCCAGAGTCTGCAGAACCAGCTGTTCCCCGACCACACCTACTCTGTGGTGTCAGGAGGAGAACCTCTGTGCATCCCAGACCTGACCTGGGACCAGCTCAAGGCCTTCCACGCCACGCACTACCACCCCAGCAACGCACGGTAAGGACCAGCAACACTCACACCAGCAACGCACACCATTAACGCAGGCAATCCAACATGTGCTGTCATTTTTATGGCTCCTTTCTGGATTTACAAAGACAATATCAAAAAGTAATAACACCAGGATCATAGAGAAGACTAAACCATTAATCCCAAAATGGTGAGTGTGACAAACTGTTACTGAACTTACTTTTCAGTGTAAGTCAAAAGGAGCCAGAAAAATTTGTAACAACATTTCATCACAAGCGCTTCCCTATTGGACTTCAATGAGCTAGCGGGTTAGCATTGTCCATCTGTACTCTGTGTTTTTTCTCCAGGTTCTTCACGTACGGAAACCTGCCTCTGGAGCAGCACCTGCAGCAGATCCAGCAGGAGGCGCTGTGTCGGTTTGAGCGCATCGACCCCAGGACCGAGGTTCCTCCACAGCCAATCTGGTCTCAACCCGTGAGTCTCACCATGAAACATCTACACAAATGATGGAACTAGAGCAGGGGTCCACAACTGGCGGACCGGGGTCCAGGCCCGGACCTTGAGTGTGTTTTCCCTGGACCTCTGTGATATTTTTTGTTCAAAATTATAAATATGAATATTTAATCAAAAACTAAGAATGTTGCGGGCGCATAGCACATAAATCAAGCCAGGAAAACCACCGTAACCATGACAACAGTTAGCATGCCATAGTGATGGTAATCAGGGTAGTTGCCATCGGGACGGTTGTTGCCATAGCAATTGCCATAGTGATAGTTGCCATGGCAACTATTGCTATGGCAATCGCTATGGCAATCACTATGGAATCTGTTGCCCTGGTATCTATCACTACAGCAACTGTTGGGATGGTATTTACTATGGCAACTGTTACCAAGGCAACCATCACTATGGCAACCATTTCTATGGGATCAATCATTATAACTGTTACCATGACGACCATTATTATTGTCACCATGACAACGGACAATCCTTTCAAGCACATAAATCAAGCCAAGAAAATGCAATCATCACTATGGTAAATACCATCATGGCCACTGTCACCATGGCAGCAGACAGACAATCTGGTGCATTTCTTGCAACTTATTTATTTTGAGTTGTGAGTTTGTTTGTTTTCTGAACTGTTATAAGAATTATCATTATTTACTGTTTATTACAATTTTTAAGTTGTTGATTCAACCACATCAGTGTTTGTTACCCCCAGTCTTGAGCTGATCAAGTTAATGGACCACTTGCCAATTTAGTTCCAGAACCCTGGACTAGAGCAATACACCGTTGGTTATGAAAGTAACTTATCTTGCCTTGCCTATTTAATAGCACAGTTCATAGATGATAATGATGACATTATTTACTTAAGCTACTTTACTTATAATGAGACTAGTCATAGAATGTGACATTATCTTCATAATAATAATCTTCAAATATCTGGTATGATGAAGGGTAAGCAGATCTTTGTATGTAACTCCCTATGCTGCCACCGGGGGAGCAATTGAATTTGTATTTTATCAAACTCTTCTCCAGAGTTCAGTCACTGAGTTTAATTCTTTGCATCTATTTTTGATTAAATTTGTAATATAGCATTGTACAACTTTTTAATTTACTCATGTCTTGAGTGATGTACTGTGTGTCTGTGTCCAGCGGGAGGCGCATGTGAGCTGTGGCCCTGACCCTCTGGCCCCGGATCCAAACCGACAGAACACTCTCTGCGTCAGCTTCCTGCTCCCAGAGTGAGATAAACACATGGATCTATAATAATAACTGGTTAGGGTATTACTAGCTTATAGCTGTCCCACCCACGGGCACAGGGGGCGCTGTGGTACTGCAGACTACGTTCACGAGGGCTACCCAGAAAAAAGTCCCATAGATCTCAATGTAAATTATAACAGCTCGGCCTCAGCTGACAGAGAACCTACAGCTTTCATGACAGTCGGATTTTGTGGGGATTTTAGTGTCACTTCTCATCCTGAACTTTTTTCTTCTTTAATCCTTCGGTTTTCTTTAAATCCACACTTTACTGCCACAAACTCTGCTGTTTTCCTTCCCACTCTGACTCCGCTCTGATCTACTGCGCTGATTGGTCAGAGCGCTGATTGTCAGAGCGCTGATTGGTCAGAGCGCTGATTGTTCAAAACTCAGCCGAGCCCCTCTGTGCACGTGCATGAGAGCCACACACGCGTATTTGTTGCAACGCATCATGGGAGCTTGTCCACTGGGCAGAACCGGGAGGACCAGACGAGGCCCAAATATAGGCGAGTTCTGCTAATCTCCCGGTCTCCGCGAAGTCCCATGCACTACTGAGCACAAGCCATTCATTTGAATAGGGTGCCATCTTGGATCACCGGGCTTGGACAAACACTATCACATCCACCCCCGTCTGCCCTGGTCTTTCTCAGACTGAGTACAGGTGTGATTTAGCCACAATACAAGTGTTTTATAGATTCTAACTTACCTGTGAGGATGAAGAAGGATTTAAACGACACACTAGTCAGACAAGGGACAATACTTTGCATAATGACAGCCAGCGTAACGGGTCCAAACAAAACGCATAACTTTCCCACTGCTGTACTGGCTGAAACCAGCATGTCAAGCCGGATAAAAAAACTACATGTCTGCAGTGGGAAAAAGTCTGACGCTTTAGGCATATCCTGACTTTGAAACCTAATTTCTGCAGGATCACGGACACCTTTGAGAGCTTCACTCTGTCGCTGCTCTCGTCTCTGATGGTTTCTGGTCCCAACTCTCCCTTCTACAAGAGCCTCATCCAGCCCAAGATCGGGACGGACTTCTCCTCTGTCGTCGGGTACAGTCATCCAACTCATCCTTTCATTTACATTTATGCTGTAAGAAAATGAAAGACTATCTGTGTTCTGCAGCAGTAAGTTTTCAAAGAGTTCAAATAGTTCAGAGTTTAAAGAGTTTAAGGCGACTGCACTTTTCACAAAACCCAGTTAACTCATTGACTTCTGCAAATTTAGACCATAGTTGGCCATGTTTGTAGAGCCGCAGTATTTCTATCTCAGGTAACTTCTGATTCTACTGATACTGTCTACTGATATCAGGAGAGGGCTAACCGACTGCTGACGTCACCACAGCGTTCGCCTCAATGTGAAACAGGCGTTTTGAACACAAGTTAGCTGGAGCCAATTCCTTTATTTGGGCATTTGCTTTCAGCATTAGCTTCACGCTGTAACAGGGGCAAGTGGTGTTGCTAACATGGTTGCTAAGGCAAGCTGGAGTTTCCTTTGCGAACAAATTGGTCAATCTGTATGAATCGTTAAACCCCTTTGCTATCAAGCCCAAAATGGTGAGTGTGACACAAACAGTTACAGAGCTAGAGAGGTTTGCTTTTAAATGTAATTCAATAGGATCAAAACTACTCCCTATGAGCATACAAGAATAAATTGTATACAATACAATTTATTCTTGTATAGCCCTAGGTCACAACAGAAGTCATCTCAGAGGACTTAACAAAACCATTGAAATCACCAACACAGGTCAGAGAATCAACAGTTAAAACACATGAAGAATATAAAGCACACACAGAAGAAAATGTCCATACATGTTGTAGAATGCTAAAGTGTCCTGATCATCACCAATCCTTTCTGTTGGACACTAACTGTCCAACAAGACCCTCCTGCATCGACAAGGAAAAAGTGAGAAACCTTGGGGAGAACTAGGGAAACCCACAGGGAGGGAGACCCATATGAGAAAGGGATCCGCTCCTCCGGACGGACAGGCTAATGATCCAGGACCTAAGCTAGCTACAGGACGTGGACCAGTGGCCGCTGAACGTGGACAGGTCCGGTGCAGGACTGAAGCACTCCCAGGCGGGTCGGGCGGGGCAGTCCGCAGGTGTAGATGGAGGAGGCCAGGCTCAGAGATCCCGTCATCGTACCATGAAACAGACAATGGGACAACGGGTGAATAGCAATGAACAAACTACAGTCAAAATCCTAAAAATGCTAAACAGATAAAGTAGGAAGGAGGAGAGGATAGTGCTCAAGTTACCATACTTCTCCAGCAGGGGGCTCCCTATGCAGCTTGACTGACAGTCTGAGGAGTTTAGCCTTCCCTGAGTCTTACCTTCCTAGCCATATGCTAAACTAAAGAGGACTGTTTTAAACCTAGCCTTGAATAAAGAGAGCGTATCTGAAAGGAGGTGAGACAGCAGCAGCCACGGCTAGGCTAGCCCAGGCTACAGCACCAATATTCATGGATTGCACACCAGGTGTGCAAACCAATCCAGGCAAACCTAATTATATATTATATATCATATACATCATATATACCATACATACCATATATATCATATATAATACACAACATAACATACAGCATAATATATAACATAATATACAACATAACACAATACATTATTGTATAATATATAACATAATACAGCATATATATATAATATATACACCATATATTATATATTACCTAATTATATGCTAAATTAAAGAAGAGTGCTTTAAGCCTGGCCTTGAATGTGGAGACCGTATCTGCTTCCTTAACATAAATGAAGCTGATTCTACAGTAAAGGAGCTTGGAGCTAAATGTTCTGCCGCCAACAGTGATTTTTGAGACCTTAGGAACCACCAGACGTCTGGCGTTTAGTGAGCGCAACGCTCGACTTGGTTGATACGACACTAACGTGTCTAGGAGATAAGGAGGAGCCAAGCCATTTATGGCTTTATATGTTAAGAGAAGGATTTTAAACTTTATTCTGTAAATCTAGGGTCCGGACGTCATACAACCTTATATAAAATGTGTTGTGATGTGGTTGAATCAGCAACAACTTAATGAGTGTAGTACACAGTACTTTATCATAATTTTTAATACTTACTATTTTACAAATCTACAAAAAAGACAATAAACCAGATAGTTTGCTCGTTGTTATGGTAAGTTGCCATAGTGATTGTTACTAAGGTAACAGTTGCCATAGCAATGATTGTCAAGGCAATCACTATGGCAACTTCCCTGGCAACCATCACTATGACAACTGTAACCATACTCCCAAGAAAGAAGTTGCAAGAAATTCACATTAAAACAAGATTATCTGTCAGCTGTCATGGCAACTGTTGCTGCTCCCACAGCAACAGTTGCCATAGTGATGTTTGCTATGATCAGGGGTGCACATAAGTGGTACGCATGCGCGGCAAATATCAGAAATGCGTACCATCACTTGAGTTAGAAAGCGCTTTTGCGTACTTCACATAGACCAGTCCTTCTCAAATAGGGGGGACTCCTCCCTAGGGGGACGTGGTGCTATAACATCCTCCGTTCTGACCCCGGGAAAAACTGTCAAACCGGCCACGGACCGTAGACACGCGTACAGAACCATACACACGCCATCAGGACCGTCCCCAGGTTGTTGCACGTGCGGGTCTTGCATGTCTCTCCCGTCTCTCCCCCACGCCTCTCCCAAGTCTCCCCCAAGTCTAATGACGAAGCGCAGCCAAAACAGCCACTGAATTAAATGTTATTTGTGCACAGAAGTAAAATGTTGTGACCAAATCAAACAGAACAAACCAAAACAGTCTTGTTTTTTTATTTTACATACTTAAGAAAGAGCCCTGTGAGTCATTATTTGACTTTTTGGGCAGAGAGTGGATTTTTAAAATACTTTTTTCCACATAGTTAGTGCCACTTTATTGCCAAACTCTTTTTGACTTATTGTATTGAGAAACATGTGTTAGTCCCACTTTACTATTGGTTGTTTTATTACCTTTCCTGTGTGGAAGTTGTATATTTTTTATTATTCTACTGAAGGATTATAATAATACACTGCATTTTTATTGACAAGTGTAAGCTCTCAAATTCCTTTGAAATGATGTGTTAGGTACTCATCTGAGTACCTCACTGAAAAATGTGCACCCCTGGCTATGATGACTTTTGTCATAGTAACTGCCAGAGTAAGTTTCCCATAGAAACAATTGCCATGGGGACTTGCCATAGCAACGGTTGCCATGATAACTATTGCCATAATAAACGGTTGCCATGGTGACTAGTGCCATGGCAATTGTTGTCATGGTGACTAATGGCATAGTAACATTTGCATAGGTGACTAGTGTCATAGCAACCATTGCCATGTTTGACCAGATTGTCTTTCAGTTGTCATTGTAACAGTTGGTTGATGGTGATAGTTCTCATAGTGATAACTGTTGCCATAGTGACTGCTGGGGTAACTGTTGCCATAGCAACGATTGCCTTGGTGACTATTGCCATAGTAACTGTTGCCATGGTGACTAGTGCCCTAGCAACAATTGCCATGTTTGACCAGATTGCCTGTGAGTTGTCATGGTAACTATTGGTTGATGGTGATGGTTCCCATAGTGATGGTGACTAAGGTCACCATCACTACGGCAACCAAGCAACAGTTGCCATAATGGTGGTTACAATGGTGACTGTTGCCAAAGTGACTGCCAGGGTAACAATTCCCATAGAAACAGTTGGCATGGTAACTATTGCCATAGCACCATGACAACCGTTGCAATTGCGTTCCTCTGACTGCTAATTTACACATCACGCGTTACAGCACGTACGCGTTATACGCGCAGCAGACGCGTGTAACTTTTTTCCATGTTAACCTATGATGATATTTACACTTCTAGCGTTATACGCGCGTATGACGGACGTATGACGCGAAGTTGCGCTCTAATTTAGGATGGATTTCTAATTTTGTGCGCGCACCAACGCGTCTCCCATTGAAATCTCATGTAAAACATGATTTTTCTAGCGGTCCTTGGCTTTAGATCACATCTGCACACACACAGCACTTGTGTCTAAACATCAGCAGGAGGAGCAGCAGGTTTTACAGGGATTCTGGACATCGTTTTTTTTCTTTCATAAAGTCTCACGTCTGGCCAAACCAGCGCACAGAGACCATGAGGACAAACACATGCATGTGATTTGTGTTGCTCTACATCAGTCCTCTGGCCCGTACTGTCCTCTACACTGCTCCATAGACACAAACAGGGACAGCATCAGAAGACGCAGACCTGCGCGGCAGTGCGCGCACGGCCTGTGTAGATACTCGAAAAAATGTTACGCGCAGTAAACGCGTACGCGCTGTTTACGCCTACTGTGTAAATTCCCCGTTACAGATATGATGGCAGCACCAGAGAGGCCTCCTTCAGCGTGGGTCTGCAGGGTGTGTCTGCTCAGGACCTGGACCGAGTCGAAGCAATCATCACCCAGACCCTGGACCAGATCATACAGTAAGTGACACACACACGTCAGGGCAAGACGGTTCTGAAACTACACACACAGTGTAACGAGCCGTGGAGCTGTGTTTGCCTCTAACTACCAAAATCTTACCTGTAAGATTTTGGTAGTTAGAGGTAAAAAAAAAAAAAGTCCTACAATTGGGCATTTTTTGTGTGGTTATCACTTTCGCTTTTCAACAAGAAGGTCCTGGGATTAAATCCCAGTTGGAACAGGGTCTTTCTGATTGGAGTTTGCATGTTCTCCCCATGTCTGTATAAGTTTACTCTGGGTGCTCTGGTGTTTCCCCTACCACTAAAAACATGTACAATAGGTGAATCCTCCAGCTCTGGTCCTGACCAAGCCAAATAGCAACATCTGGAGACGGGTCCTGGGTAGTACTAGTACGGCAACCACTGCTCCTGACAGATGCCCCAGTGGTAAAAGCAGAGGACAAAGTTTCCCTCGGGGATAAATACAGTGCACATTTAGATTTAACTTTACTTTTACAAAACATGATCTTTTTTAGCATGCTCACCAACTTAATTCAACCTCCTGCTGTATAATATAAGTTTGAAAGTAACTTTTCAAGTAACAGACTTTAAGTTAACTGACTTAAAGAGGCCAAGTCCCAGGTTTCTGTCCTACGGATGTGCTCTGTATAAAGAACTTTATATTCTCAGAGACGGGTTTGAAGAAGAGCGAATCGAAGGGCTACTCCACAAAATCGAGATCCAGATGAAACACCAGTCCACAAACTTCGGCCTGGCTCTGGCCTCGGTGAGTGCTGCTTCTGTGTGTGCCTTTGGTGACTGAGAAAAATAACCGTTTGAGTGTCAAATATTCTTATCTTTGTATTTTACTTTTGTTTTTGTTTTACACTTTGTAAAATAACATGAGACCTGGTGCTAGAAGCCATTTTGGTTTTGGTTTTTAGCTTCACTTTGAACTCTCAAAGTTAACTCAAAGTTAACTCAAAGCTTCACTTTGAGTTAACTTAAGTTTCCCATATCTGAAAAATGTTTAGGTTCAGTTCATTGTCAGGGTTAGGGTTTGGGTAACAAGCTACACACACAGTTGCTAATGGACTTTTCAGCCTCACTGTACTTCGACGGCTTTTGACAGCTGCAGCATCACTCAGACCTGGTCTCTTTCTCTCTGGTCGCTCTCTGGTCTCTCTCTGGTCTCTCCCTGGTCTCTCCCTGGTCTCCCTCTGGTCTCCCTCTGGTCTCCCTCTGGTCTCTCTCTGGTCTCTCTCTGGTCTCTCTCTCTGGTCTCTCTCTGGTCTCTCTCTGGTCTCTCTCTGGTCTCCCTCTGGTCTCCCTCTGTTCTCTCTCTGGTCTCCCTCTGGTCTCTCTCTGGTCTCTCTCTGGTCTCCCTCTGGTCTCCCTCTGGTCTCTCTCTGGTCTCCCTCTGGTCTCTCTCTGGTCTCTCTCTGGTCTCTCTCTGGTCTCTCTCTGGTCTCTCTCTGGTCTCTCTCTGGTCTCTCTCTGGTCTCTCTCTGGTCTCTCTCTGGTCTCTCGCTGGTCTCTCGCTGGTCTCTCGCTGGTCTCTCGCTGGTCTCTCGCTGGTCTCTCGCTGGTCTCTCGCTGGTCTCTCGCTGGTCTCTCGCTGGTCTCTCGCTGGTCTCTCGCTGGTCTCTCTCTGGTCTCCCTCTGGTCTCTCCCTGGTCTCCCTCTGGTCTCCCTCTGGTCTCTCTCTGGTCTCTCTCTTCAGCAGTGGTGAGTTAGTAAAGTGTATAAAGTGTGTGAGGGTTTTTACAGCCTTAAAACGTCGAGCTGTTACTTGTATGTTATTTATAAAAAAACAAATTTTCTGATAATACTGTAATTCTTTGTGTTCTTAAAGAAAATATTGATATCACAGTCAATAAGACAGAAGTGTAAACAACCACAACCTCTTCTTAAACAGAGAAAACTAAAAGACTATTTTGAACCCAGATGAGTGGGTGGTCACAGCCCTGTCTCTACGGGAGATTCTCTGCTCCATTGGGACCAGCATGTGCTCAAGACTTAGTTAGCGCCTTTTCTTTTTAAGAAGGTCAAGGCTACATGGAGTGGGGAAAAGTGTGCAATCTAGGCTTAGGGTGAGTGAAAATGAATAACTGCTGTCTGGTTTACTGAAGTGCAAGTATGTAATGATTGTGGGGCGCTCTCTGTTGTGATGTTCTGTTTCTCTATGGTCCTAAAGTTCTCCGATGGTGCTCTGACCTGTGTCTATTTTGGTCAATAGACACAGGTTATGTGAACCCCTGTCCCAAGACACATTTCTCCTGTGGGATACAATAAAGGAGTGTTTTATCTTGTTTTAGTGGTTCTCTGTAACTCTCTCAGTATGATTTCTCGTGTCTTCAGTACATCGCGTCTTGTTGGAACCACGACGGAGACCCTGTGGAGCTGCTGCAGATCGGCCACAGTGTGGAGCGGTTCAGGCAGGCTCTGAAGGAGAACCCTGGACTCCTGCAGGAGAAGGTCCAGAAGTATTTCAAAGTGAGTTCCTATTGTTCCTCATCAAAGACCAAGGCCCCTGCAGAGCTGCTTCCTCATGATCTGGTGTCTCTTCGTCCTACAGGAGAACCCTCACCGCCTGACCCTGTCCATGAGCCCACAGCAGCAGTATCTGGAGACTCAGACCAAAGCTGAAGAGGACAAACTGCAGCTGAAGGTCCAGGCCCTGACGGAGGAGGACCGCACAGACATCTACAACAAGGGTAAAGACCTCCCAATGCTCAACCAGCTCTGAACCAGGGGCTGGGACTGAGGCTGGGGCTGGGACTGAGGCTGGGGCTGGGACTGAGGCTGGGGCTGGGACTGAGGCTGGGGCTGGGACTGAGGCTGGGACTGAGGCTGGGACTGAGGCTGAGGCTCGGGCTGGGACTGAGGCTGGGACTGAGGCTGGGAGTGAGGCTGGGGCTGGGACTGAGGCTGGGACTGAGGCTGGGAGTGAGGCTGGGGCTGGGACTGAGGCTGGGACTGAGGCTGGGACTGAGGCTGGGACTGAGGCTGGGACTGAGGCTGGGACTGAGGCTGGGAGTGAGGCTGGGATTGGGACTGAGGCTGGGACTGAGGCTGGGACTGAGGCTGGGACTGAGGCTGGGACTGAGGCTGGGACTGAGGCTGGGAGTGAGGCTGGGGCTGGGACTGAGGCTGGGACTGAGGCTGGGACTGAAGCTGGGACTGAGGCTGGGACTGAGGCTGGGACTGAGGCTGGGACTGAGGCTGGGACTGAGGCTGGGACTGAGGCTGGGACTGAGGCTGGGACTGAGGCTGGGATTGGGACTGAGGCTGGGACTGAGGCTGGGACTGAGGCTGGGACTGAGGCTGGGACTGAGGCTGGGACTGAGGCTGGGAGTGAGGCTGGGGCTGGGACTGAGGCTGGGACTGAGGCTGGGACTGAAGCTGGGACTGAGGCTGGGACTGAGGCTGGGACTGAGGCTGGGACTGAGGCTGGGACTGAGGCTGGGACTGAGGCTGGGACTGAGGCTGGGACTGAGGCTGGGACTGAGGCTGGGACTGAGGCTGGGACTGGGACTGGGACTGGGACTGGGGCTGGGGCTGAGGCTAAGGCTGGGGCTGAGGCTGAGTGGAGTTTGCATGTTCTCCCCGTGCCTGTGTAGGTTTCCTCCAGGTGCTCCTTGGTTTCCCCTACCACTAAAAACATGCACAATACTTGTGAATGTGACAATTGAATGAATGGATGGAGTTGGTCAGGGGCTTTGATGATTCTGTGTGTTCGGCGTCCCTTCCGTCATCACAGTTTGTGGAGAGAATGGAACAATATCTGAACACTGAACATTGTAAAGTGCTTCGGGTGACCTTGGTGTGTAAAATGCGCTATATAAAAAAAGATTACTTACTTATTTGAGTGTATTGGATCAAAATCATTGGCAACATTTACACAAAGGGTCTCTGTGCTGAGAACCTTTGTGTCTTTGACGCTGGTTCAAACCAGAACTCCCCTTTGGTTCATCTGACTTATATGTTGCAATAATAACAGTTGTAATATAACCTCTTCCTCTTCCCTCCCATTTTGGAGCGTCAGTCCTGATCTCTCTGACTCTGCTTTCAGGCCTGGAGCTGCTCTCTGCTCAGTCTTCTCCTCAGGACGCCTCTTGTCTTCCTGCTCTGAAAGTATCCGACATCGACCCGGAGACCAGCCGGACCGCGGTTCACCTCGGCAGCGTTGGTACGACCCGCTCACCGTCACCAGAGAATCCACTCCCGCTCTGTCCATCTGAATGTAATACCCTGCTCTGTCCCACAGGGGGCGTGCCGGTGCAGCAGTGTGAGCAGCCCACTAACGGCCTGGTTTACTTCAGAGCTGTGTGTGACATCAACAGTCTGGCTGAAGACCTGCGCCCCCTAGTGCCGCTGTTCTGCTCCGTTATCACCAAGTGAGAAACACAGGAGCGGGTTTTCAGACCCATAACAGCAGCTTTTCTCCGTCTTCTAGTGGTTTTACTTTTCACACACTCTTTCCCACTGAGCACAAAAGTCTTCCTCACACACTGGGACTTTAAACCGCTTTGCAAACTACCGTACTCTCTGGACTATAAGCAGCAGCAACATTTTAAAATAAAGTAAATGTTGTCCACATACAGGCAGCACTCGGATATACGCTGCAGGTTTTCAGACTACTTTATTTATTTATAATTTAATTTGATTCCTTTGAGCAACATAGGGCATACGTTTTTTTTCTAAACACAGGAATTGTCAAACAGTAACATGAACAATATGATCTGAAGTGGAGCTCATACACAATACAACAATAACAACAATACAAGCCCATGTCACCAACAGCCACAGGCGAACAGCCGTTAGGACAAAAGATTTTAAGTGACGATTGTTGCACACATTGGCGTTGAGGTAAAAAAAAAAAAAAAAAGAAGAAAATTAGCAGCTTATAGTCGAGAAATGACGGTATATAACATGATCACCTCCTGCAGGACATTGTCCGCTCTGGAGAGCAGTTCCAGTGACAGACTTATTCACAACAAACATTGAGGACTAACAAACTCTGCCGACCTGACCTCACATGTCGTGCATCTGTGCAATAACTTGAACTCACAGACGTAAACACACAACTACTATTTGCAGTAGAATGTACAGCTTTATACATATTTATTCTCCTAAAGTCAGAGATGTTGTTCTTAATTCTTGCTTCTTCATTATATTCTCGACATGTGAAGTGTCTTTGAGTGTCCAACAGCGCTCTCTTTATTTATCATTGATCTCATGTGCTCCTCATTCCTTCTGTTCTGTAGCCGTGAACACTGACATTTCCCACTGTGGGAGGATGAAAGGATCTCTTCTTAATGATAATAAAGAGTAGAAATAAACCAAATTTCGAGATAAAGTGTGAGTGTGTTGCAGGATGGGTGCTGGATCCCTGGACTACATGCAGCAGGCGCAGCAGAAGGAGCTGCGGACCGGAGGCATGTCTGTGACGCCGCAGGTCATCCAGGACTCCTCCCACCTCGACTCCTACGAACAAGTGAGAATCCTATCCTTTTAAAGCTCGGGTGCGTAACATTCAGGCCACAACAATGGAGCACTGCCGTCAAATCCATGTCACTCGTTCTTGGCTCTAAAACAGTGGCTTTAAACGTGATCTTGGCCTCTCTCTCTTTCACTTCTTTGGTTTAACTTTTTTCAGACTGAAATGTGAAACAGAGAGGACCACCTTTACTCAGCCAATCAGCTCTCAGCCCAACCCTGAAAAAATAAATCTAAATTTACTAAAGATAACATAAATTATGCTTATTTTGTTTTGCTTGAAAGTAGATCTAAGATAATAATACTTCATAATCTTTTAAGAGAAAAAAGTCTGAGCAGTTTAAGTTTGTTTTAAGAATACTGAGTAGGGCTCATTTTTTCTCAAAAGAGAAGATGTTTTAAAGAATAGTGTAAAAGTAAATGTTGTAAACCAATCAAAGAAAATATTTGTACTATTTATGAGGCAAGAAAGACAGTCCTCCATCTTTTTATACGGTCACAGACTGAACTCAAACCGACTCCATGAGGATCCATAATAACGCTCAGAATGAGTCACTACAGAAAGACAGAATATTAATCATGTTGATGCTGTTTTATGTGGATTTATAATAAACAAATACAGTACATATGTTCACTGTCATTTATCTTTCCATTCAAACTACCATTTACAGAAAAAGACGGCGTCATTTTGCCGATAGTAAAAAATGTGATTCATTATGATGAATACATTTTAAGCTGTAATTAACTCAAATAGAAATTTAAATAGTTTGACAGCCCTAAAATAAATACAATCAAGTAGTAAGTCAATAGGAGCCAAATGAGCATGTGTGTGTGTGTGTGTGTGTGTGCGTGTGTGTGCGTGTGCGTGTGTGTGTGTGCGTGTGTGTGTGTGTGTGTCCAGGGCGTCCTCTTGTCCTCGTCGTGTCTGGACAGAAACCTGCCGCACATGTTTGATCTGTGGAGAGACATCTTTAACAGGTGAGAGACATTTGGATTTAATCTGATGCTAAGCTTTTTCAGGTCTAAGAAAGAGACGACTGTGACCTGTGTGTGTCTGTGTGTGTCTGTGTGTGTCAGGGTGTGTCAGTGTGTGTCAGTGTGTGTCAGTGTGTGTCTGTGTGTGTCAGTGTGTGTCAGTGTGTGTCAGTGTGTGTCAGTGTGTGTCTGTGTGTGTCTGTGTGTGTCTGTGTGTGTCTGTGTGTGTCAGTGTGTGTCTGTGTGTGTCAGGGTGTGTCAGTGTGTGTCAGTGTGTGTCAGTGTGTGTCTGTGTGTGTCAGTGTGTGTCAGTGTGTGTCAGTGTGTGTCTGTGTGTGTCTGTGTGTGTCTGTGTGTGTCAGTGTGTGTCGGTGTGTGTCAGTGTGTGTCTGTGTGTGTCAGTGTGTGTCAGTGTGTGTCAGTGTGTGTCAGTGTGTGTCAGTGTGTGTCTGTGTGTGTCTGTGTGTGTCAGTGTGTGTCAGTGTGTGTCAGTGTGTGTCTGTGTGTGTCTGTGTGTGTCAGAGGGAGTTACAGCAGACTGTAAATATTAACTAATGTAGTGGCGGCTAATTCCTTGTTGCGGTGTCATTTGGCAAGACACTTCACAGACATTAGAATGAATCTGGTGTGTGTGTGTGTGTGTGAATGGTTGGTGGTGGGAGGGGCCGATGGCACAGACTGGTTGCCTCCCTTCGGTCAGTGTGCCCCAGGGCAGCTGTAACAACAGTGGTAGTTTATCACCAACAGAGTTAAAAAATAATGACATGTGAAGTGGAGGAAAACATTTATTTTTGTTCAGTTTCACAATATTTTTCACATAGAAATGGATCAATGGGTAGAAAATGGACGGATGAGATGAAATGGATACAGTAGAGCAGTGTTCCCCAACCTTTTTGAGCTGTGGCACATCTTCTCACATGGACAAAGATGAAATTCAACACCAAAAGTCATTCTCATCAAAGTGTATTTTATAGAATTCAAACGAGCACAAAAAAATCATTTAATTTTCATTTAATTTTGACAAAATGGGGAATATTGGCCCATTTCCAAAGGCACACCATACAACATCTCAGGGCACACTATCGTTCCACGGCAAACTGGTCGGAAAACACAATATTCACTGATATAAAACGTGGTTAACCGTGGCGTCCGTCTGTGGTCAGCGCCCGCTTCGATGACGAGGAGCGGCTGCGTGTCCTGGTGATGATGTCAGCGCAGGAGTTGACCAACGGGATCTCGTACTCTGGTCACGCCTACGCCATGACCCGAGCCGCTCGCCACCTGACGCCGGCGGGACACGTTAGCGAGACCTTCTCCGGGATGGACCAGGTACTGACCAGGACCAGGGTCTGGGTTTGGACTAGGACCAGGGCGTTTTGGCTCTGATGAACTAGAACATTGTCTGTCTGTTTTCTGTCTCTGTCTCTGTCTGGTCTGTCGGATATTCTTGTTTGTCCGTCTGCTTTTGTCTTGTCTGTTTTATTGATTGATGCCTGTATGATTTATAGTTGCCGAGGACATTTTGGGCGGTAGTTGTGGCATTTTTTTTTTTTTTTTATTATCATTGCCATCGGCCATGAGTTGTTAGACCTTGAAATAAAGACAATTGTATAGAAAAAAAAAACTCTAACCTGGCCGGTCCCTTACACCCTTCTGTCTCTCTCTCTGCCTCTATATCTTTTTCTCTCTCTGCCTCTCTCTCTCTCTCTCTCGCTGCCTCTGCCTGTCTCTCTCTCCGTCTCTGTCTCTGCCTCTGCATCTGTCTCTGTCTCTCTCTCTGCCTCTGCATCTGCCTCTGCATCTGTCTCTCTCTCTGCCTCTGCATCTGTCTCTCTCTCTGCCTCTGCATCTGTCTCTGTCCTGTCTCTGCCTCTCTCTCTGCCTGTGCCTCTGTCTCTTCCTCTGCCTCTGTCTCAGGTGAAGTTCATGAAGAAAGTTGCAGAGAAATCGGACCTGAACCATCTGATCCGAACTCTGCCCCGGCTCAAGAAGCACCTGTTTAACCCACACAACATGAGGTAATGGCAGACATTTTGGCACTAATGTAAACTGCTTTGTCGCAAACTTTCAAACCACAGGCTCCACGTTACTCCGGTTAGCGAGCGGGAGGAGTTTACTTTTCAACTAGGGCTGTCAAATGATTAACATTTTTAATCAAGTTAATTACAGCTTAAAAATTAATTAATCGTAATTAATCGCATTAATCGCAACTATCGACAAAATAATGCCATATTTTTCTGTAAATGGTTGTTTGAGTGGAAAGATAAATGACAACAAGCCATATAAAATGGCATTAACATTATTAACATTCTGTCTTTCTGTTTAGACTCAGACCAAAACTATTGTTTGTTACAGATGAGGGACATTTAAAACAGTCTGAGGCAGATTGTCATTAAATCTGTTTGATTTTCTCACAACATTACTTTTGGGCACAACCAACATGAACTGGTAGTGCAAGGGAAAATTAGGTACCCCAGCTTTAATTTAGCGAGTGCACTTCGGGAGAAGACACGGAGTAGACTGAGGCTCCGTAGTCCAGCTTCAGAGCTGTATTTATTCTGTGCACCGGTTATGTAAAGCCACGCACATTACAGTCAGAATAGTTCTGTGCGTGGTCTTGGATATGATCACGTTACGCGGCGCCGTTCGCCGTGATCACAGCCGCTGGAGGACCTGCTGTCCAGAGCGCCGTGATCACAGCCGCTGGAGGACCTGCTGTCCAGTGCGCCGCAGCTCAGCTCAGAGTTCATACAGGAAACAGCAGCAAGTGCCCCACGGTCACGCGTGTATCATTTTTTATCTTGAATTCCCAGAGACCTGTCACCATCTCACACACACACGTGCCAGTGGCATTCTAAGTGTTATTATGGGATGCATGGGTATGCGTCAATCACGTAAAAAAATTTAGCGCGATTAATGATTTTTTTTTATTAATGTGCGTTAACGCAATAATTTTGACAGCCCTATTTTCAAGGTAAGTGAGTAGGAGCCAAACGTCACCGTGATCTTGATTTGGTTTCCACCTGCACCCGTGTGAATGAATGGACAATGATCAGAAAAAAAAAAAGATACTTTCTTTGCTTTATTTGGGAGATGGGCGGGGCCTACGGCGGCGGGGCCAGGATGGGAGGCGGCCTCTTCACCTTCTACTCCCACAGGTCAAACGAGGGTTACTCATGTAACCACAGATCTATGAATCCCGGGTGACCGCCAGATTATCTTGCTTCACTTGCTTCTGCTAGCTGCTTTGCAATGCTGCTCGTGGATCTTCTTCTCTTCCTCCGCTATCCGCTTTTCCTCTGCTGAGATGGACTTCAGGTTTTCATTTACAGATACCAGCGATCAAAGCAGAGTGTCTTACCATCTTAATAAGAGGCGATACAGCGACAGGAGGTGCCGTTGTGGTGATATTTTAGCCTTTAGATGCAGAAGTGACTTATACTTTCCCACCGCTAATAAAGAGAGGTTCAATTTATTTTTTGACAGAAAACATCTGAAATTTCAGGCGAGACATCAGCGTCCAAACAAATGATGATGGCAAAAGGGCAAAGACACAATATTTACGTTCATATGTTATATGAACCTAAATATATGGGACATACAGCAGATACCATAAGAGCTTGTACATACTGTATAAGGCATGGGTGTCAAAGTCAAGGCCCGGGGGCCAGATCCAAATGAATCATCTTTGCCCCCGGGACAATATTTGATAAGTATTAGAACCGGCCGCACAGAGCCATGAGTAAATATTGGATTATTCATTTAATGTTCAGGACATGTGTTTTCTCTTTGAAGGAAGTTTGTTTTTGTCTGAGAGCTGTTGAAACAAGTTTTCACTTGAAATGACATATTTTCACAAAAATATTGCATTATTCATTTAATCATTAAGTAAAATACAGTCCTCTGTGTTAGGTCTTGGTTAGACAGGTTTTATGCATCATTTTCATATGTTATAATAAGCATTGAACCAGTCCGGTCCTCGGCTTTATATTAGTTTTTTTGCCCTCTGATGTATTTGACTTTGACGTCCCTGACATCAGGAAAGTCCATATATGGCTCTTCCGGGTTCGACAAACACTGTAGTGACGACAGCACTCGGTCAGTCCACTCCTAATATAATAAAACTGCAGCGCAGTGGTATTGGACCAGAAAACACTGGAGGACCCTGAATAATGTCCGTGTTTGTGTGACAGATGTGCGCTGAACGCCACTCCACAGACCATGAGCGACGCGTCCAAACATCTGGAGACTTTCCTCCAGGACGTGTCAGGAAACAGGAGGGAGAGGAAGCCCGTGAGACCCACCACCATCCAGGTAACACACCTCCAGACTGATTCTTTGGCCCTTTCAATTCCATTTATCTTTTTATAGGCCTAAATTGCAACAGCAGCTGTCTCGGGGGGCTTTACAAAGTTGTCGATTCCTCAACAACAGATCAGAGAATCTAACAGTTTGAACACAGGAACCTTTGGTCCATAGGGAACGGGAGGACCACTGTCTATAAATGTTAATAAATGTCCAGGGTCATAGGGCCAGGACTGAGACTGTGGATCCAGGACTGAGACTGTGGATCCAGGACTGAGACTGTGGATCCAGGACTGAGACTGTGGATCCAGGACTGAGACTGTGGATCCAGGACTGAGACTGTGGATCCAGGACTGAGACTTTGGATCCAGGACTGAGACTTTGGATCCAGGACTGAGACTTTGGATCCAGGACTGAGACTGTGGATCCAGGACTGAGACTGTGGATCCAGGACTGAGACTTTGGATCCAGGACTGAGACTTTGGATCCAGGACTGAGACTTTGGATCCAGGACTGAGACTGTGGATCCAGGACTGAGACTTTGGATCCAGGACTGAGACTGTGGATCCAGGACTGTGGATCCAGGACTGACGCTGTAGATCCAGGACCGAGGCTGTAGATCCAGGACCGAGGCTGTAGACCCAGGACCGAGGCTGATGATATTTTACCATTCTTCTCCAGCACAGAGACACGTTCGTCTTTACAAAACAGCTTGAACTCCGTCACATCAGATAGAGACCGTTTCATTTACATCGGTGTGAAAACCGATGCAACCGATTCATGATTGAACTGCAATAGAAGGCAAACAATATTTATTGTAAAAATGTTATAATTATGATTTGTGTGTTTTCTACAGAAGCCGATCCACCCACAGCTGGAGTCCGGACCCACGAAGACGCTCATCAAGGTGCGCTCAATACCCAACCATGTGACCTAACGCTAACTCAAACTGGCTCCATGAGGATTAGAGCTAACTCAAACTGGCTCCATGAAGATTAGAGCTAACTCAAACTGGCTCCATGAGGATTAGAGCTAACTCAAACTGGCTCAATGAGGATTAGAGCTAACTCAAACCGGCTCCATGAGGATTAGAGCTAACTCAAACTGGCTCCATGAGGATTAGAGCTAACTCAAACTGGCTCAATGAGGATTAGAGCTAACTCAAACCGGCTCCATGAGGATTAGAGCTAACTCAAACTGGCTCCATGAGGATTAGAGCTAACTCAAACTGGCTCAATGAGGATTAGAGCTAACTCAAACCGGCTCCATGAGGATTAGAGCTAACTCAAACTGGCTCCATGAGGATTAGAGCTAACTCAAACTGGCTCCATGAGGATTAGAGCTAACTCAAACTGGCTCCATGAGGATTAGAGCTAACTCAAACTGGCTCCATGAGGATTAGAGCTAACTCAAACTGGCTCCATGAGGATTAGAGCTAACTCAAACTGGCTCCATGAGGATTAGAGCTAACTCAAACTGGCTCCATGAGGATTAGAGCTAACTCAAACTGGCTCCACGAGGATTAGAGCTAACTCAAACTGGCTCCATGAGGATTAGAGCTAACTCAAACTGGCTCAATGAGGATTAGAGCTAACTCAAACCGGCTCCATGAGGATTAGAGCTAACTCAAACTGGCTCCATGAGGATTAGAGATAACTCAATCCCGCTCCATGGGCTGGAATCTGGAGGTAAACAACGTCAGTAGCAAAGACCAAGTAGCAACCAAAGAGCCAATCAAGAGGGACGTTGTTCTGTAGCCAAATTCAGGGACAGAAGGCTCCTGATTGGTCAGTTTTTACGGCTCATATCTGGATTTACAAAGACAGTATCACAAAATAAACTCCAGGATCACAGCGGGGGCTAAAACCACAGATTTTTAAGCCCAAAATGGTGAGTGTGGTGAGTGCCTTTCTCAAACAAAGTAACATTGAGATTATAAACACAAGTTCAGAGTGTCATCCAGCCAACTTCTGCGCCACCAATAGAGGAATGTTATACCGTGTAAATCTCTGAACCTCTTCCTTCCATGTACTGTATTGTACTTGCATTTGTTTTTCCATTGTGTTTCTATGGCACTGTACCTTTTGAGGTGTGAAGTTCTTGATTCATTCTTCATAACCAACTTTTCATTTCAAAATGTCCGGATTCCTGTTTTAAGTCAGCCCTTAGACAAGTCTGGTGAACTAAAGTGGCCCTCTTACTAGCATTAGCATTGTTGGTTAGCATTGTCCCTCTGTATACAGTCCAATGTGACCCGCGAGCTGCTCTGGTCCGCAGGAGGAGCAGTTCCAGCCGTGCCACATGAAGACGTTCTTCCAGATGGCGTTCCCGGTGAACTTCGTGAGCCAGAGCATCCGCACGGTGCCCTTCACTCACCACGACTACGCCAGGTAACACCAGAACTAATGTCATCCATGGTTTTTGGAACCATGGATCACATGGGACCTGTAGAGACCTGTAGAGACCTGTAGAGACCTGTAGAGACCTGTAGAGACCTGTAGAGACCTGTTGGGACATTTAGAGACCTGTAAGGACCTGTAGGAACTTGTTGGGACATGTAGAGACCTGTAAGGACCTGTAAGGACCTGTAGGGACCTGTAGGGACTTGTAGGGACATGTAGAGACCTGTAAGGACCTGTAGGGACTTGTTGGGACATGTAGAGACCTGTAAGGACCTGTAGGGACTTGTTGGGACATGTAGGGACCTGTAGAGACCTGTAAGGACCTGTAGAGACCTGTAGAGACCTGTAGAGACCTGTAGAGACCTGTAGAGACCTGTAGAGACCTGTAGAGACCTGTAGAGACCTGTAGAGACCTGTAGAGACCTGTAGAGACCTGTAGAGACCTGTAGAGACCTGTAGAGACCTGTAGAGACCTGTAGAGACCTGTAGAGACCTGTAGAGACCTGTAGAGACCTGTAGAGACCTGTAGAGACCTGTAGAGACCTGTAGAGACCTGTAGGGATCTGTAGGGATCTGTAGGGACCTGTAGGGACCTGTAGGGACCTGTAGGGACCTGTAGGGACCTGTAGGGACTTGTAGGGACCTGTAGGGACTTTTAGGGACCTGTAGAGACCCCTAGGGACTTTTAGGGACCTGTAGGGACTTGTAGGGACATGTAGAGACCTGTAGAGACCTGTAAGGACCTGTTGGGACATTTAGAGACCTGTAAGGACCTGTAGGAACTTGTTGGGACATGTAGAGACCTGTAAGGACCTGTAGGGACTTGTTGGGACATGTAGAGACCTGTAAGGACCTGTAGGGACTTGTTGGGACATGTAGAGACCTGTAGAGACCTGTAGAGACCTGTAGGGACCTGTAGGGACCTGTAGGGACTTATAGGGACCTGTAGGGACTTTTAGGGACCTGTAGAGACCCCTAGGGACTTTTAGGGACCTGTAGGGACTTGTAGGGACATGTAGAGACCTGTAGAGACCTGTAAGGACCTGTTGGGACATTTAGAGACCTGTAAGGACCTGTAGGAACTTGTTGGGACATGTAGAGACCTGTAAGGACCTGTAGGGACTTGTTGGGACATGTAGAGACCTGTAAGGACCTGTAGGGACTTGTTGGGACATGTAGAGACCTGTAAGGACCTGTAGGGACTTGTTGGGACATGTAGAGACCTGTAGGGACCTGTAGGGACCTGTAGAGACCTGTAAGGACCTGTAGAGACCTGTAAGGACCTGTAGAGACCTGTAGAGACCTGTAGAGACCTGTAGAGACCTGTAGAGACCTGTAGAGACCTGTAGAGACCTGTAGAGACCTGTAGAGACCTGTAGAGACCTGTAGGGACCTGTAGGGACCTGTAGGGACTTGTAGGGACCTGTAGGGACTTTTAGGGACCTGTAGAGACCCCTAGGGACTTTTAGGGACCTGTAGGGACTTGTAGGGACATGTAGAGACCTGTAGAGACCTGTAAGGACCTGTTGGGACATTTAGAGACCTGTAAGGACCTGTAGGAACTTGTTGGGACATGTAGAGACCTGTAAGGACCTGTAGGGACTTGTTGGGACATGTAGAGACCTGTAAGGACCTGTAGGGACTTGTTGGGACATGTAGAGACCTGTAAGGACCTGTAAGGACCTGTAGGGACCTGTAGGGACTTGTAGGGACATGTAGAGACCTGTAAGGACCTGTAGGGACTTGTTGGGACATGTAGAGACCTGTAAGGACCTGTAGGGACTTGTTGGGACATGTAGAGACCTGTAAGGACCTGTAGGGACTTGTTGGGACATGTAGAGACCTGTAGGGACCTGTAGGGACCTGTAGAGACCTGTAAGGACCTGTAGGGACCTGTAGGGACCTGTAGGGACTTGTAGGGACATGTAAGGACCTGTAAGGACCTGTAGGGACTTGTTGGGACATGTAGAGACCTGTAAGGACCTGTAGGGACTTGTTGGGACATGTAGAGACCTGTAGGGACCTGTAGGGACATGTAGAGACCTGTAAGGACCTGTAGGGACTTGTAGGGACATGTAGAGACCTGTAAGGACCTGTAGGGACTTGTTGGGACATGTAGAGACCTGTAAGGACCTGTAAGGACCTGTAAGGACCTGTAGGGACTTGTAGGGACATGTAGAGACCTGTAAGGACTTGTAGGGACTTGTTGGGACATGTAGAGACCTGTAGGGACCTGTAGTGACCCGTAGTGACCCGTAGTGACCTGTGCCCCTCTCTTGCAGCCTGTGCGTTCTCGCCAGATTAATGTCTGCAAAGTTCCTGCACGTGGAGATCCGGGAGAAGGGCGGGGCCTATGGGGGCGGGGCCAGGATGGGCGGCGGCCTCTTCACCTTCTACTCGTACAGGTAAAACTAGAAGTTTCTAGGTTAAGGTCCTGTAGAAGGATTGTCATGTTTCAAAACAACTCTGTGGGAAAGAAAGTGTTTTTTTCCAGATGATTATTTTATTTATTTGTTTTCTGTTTTTCAAACACAACCTCAACACAACATTTATGACCATCGCTAATTTGCAACGTCTTTCCCTAGAGAGGCTTTTAACACACGGTGGTTGAGTGGTTAGCTCTCTCCTTTCTCAACCAATCCCGGTCGTAACAGGGTCTTATTACTTTATTGTGTCATCTTCATTAGTTCACACTTTTTTCTTAATACATTCAGTATAACAGACACATTTTATTTTATTTTTCATTTTTTTCCCACTATGCTCCCTTTGTGTCAAAAAAGAGCCAAAAAGCAAAACATAAATTCATTAAAAACACAGGCAAATAAAACAAACACTATGAAAATAAATATATAGAATAATATAAACAATAAATGACTATTTCTACATCGCTATACAGTATATTGAATAATATTGATGTCATACTAATAAATAATTAAGAAACAGAATGTACAGGGTCTTTCTGAGTGGAGTTCGTAGGTTCTCCCCATGTTTGCGTAGGTTTCCTCCGGGTGCTCCGGTGTCCACTATCGCTACAAAAATGCACAAAAGGAAAACCCCCAGCTCTGGTCCAGACCAGGAGCATCGTCATCTATAGATGGTCCCCCTGGTTACTACGGCGACCACTGCTTCAGACAGAGGCCATAGTGGCATCAGGATGGGTCAAATGCAGAAGACAAAGTGTATATTTAAATTAAAAACACGTTTTTCATCGTTCACTTTGTTAAAAGGCAGGTTGATTTGTTATGGATGAGATTCACAAAGCTCCATATTATTCTCACCTCTGAAAGTCTTTTCTACGGGACTCAAGCTCACAACAGGACATTGTGGCTCTGATGAACTAGAACAGGAAGTGTTGCATGTTCTCCTGGTGTATTCTGTGTTTTCAGGGACCCTCAGACCCTGCAGACCCTGGCCTCCTTCCGCAGAGCAGTGGACTGGGCCAAATCCGGAGTGTTCTCTGAGCAGGACGTGGACGAGGCCAAACTGTCGGTGTTCTCTGCCGTGGACTCGCCTGTGGCTCCGGCCGATAAAGGTACAACACGAGGAGCGGAGGAGGAGGATAGGAGAGGAGGAGAGGAGCAGAGGAGGAGAAGAGCAGAGGAGCAGAGGAGGAGAAGAGCAGAGGAGGAGAAGAGCAGAGGAGGAGAGGAGGAGAGGAGCAGAGGAGGAGAGGAGCAGAGGAGGAGCAGAGGAGGAGAAGAGCAGAGGAGGAGAGGAGCAGAGGAGGAGAGGAGCAGAGGAGAAGTGCAGAGCAGGAGAGGAGGAGAGGAGCAGAGGAGGAGAGGAGAGGAGCAGAGGAGGAGAATAGGAGAGGAGGAGAATAGGAGAGGAGGAGAATAGGAGAGGAGGAGAATAGGAGAGGAGGAGAATAGGAGAGGAGGAGAAGAGGAGAGGAGGAGAACAGGAGAGGACCAGAGGAGAAGAGGAGAGGAGCAGAGGAGGAGGAGAAGAGGAGAGGAGCAGAGGAGGAGGAGAAGAGGAGAGGAGCAGAGGAGGAGAGGAGAAGAGGAGAGGAGCAGAGGAGGAGGAGGATAGGAGAGGAGGAGAGGAGCAGAGGAGGAGGAGAAGAGAGGAGGAGAGGAGGAGAACAGGAGAGGACCAGAGGAGCAGAGGAGCAGAGGAGGAGAGGAGCAGAGGAGCAGAGGAGGAGAGGAGCAGAGGAGGAGAGGAGATCTGTGTGGAGGAGGTGGAGCTACAGAGAGCAGAGTATACAGATGAACGATGCTAACCCGCTAGCTCAATGATGTTTGGAGACTTTTACATCGACTCATAAATAAAAGTAAAGTCATAGCTCAGTGACACACTTTAGGCCTTAAAAGTCTGTGGGTTGGTTTTGATATTGTTTATAAAGCAGGTCTAAAGCAGGACTAAAGCAGGTCTAAAGCAGGACTAAAGCAGGACTAAAGCAGGTCTAAAGCAGGACTAAAGCAGGACTAAAGCAGGACTAAAGCAGGACTAAAGCAGGACTAAAGCAGGTCTAAAGCAGGTCTAAAGCAGGACTAAAGCAGGTCTAAAGCAGGTCTAAAGCAGGTCTAAAGCAGGTCTAAAGCAGGTCTAAAGCAGGTCTAAAGCAGGTCTAAAGCAGGTCTAAAGCAGGTCTAAAGCAGGTCTAAAGCAGGACTAAAGCAGGACTAAAGCAGGACTAAAGCAGGTCTAAAGCAGGTCTAAAGCAGGTCTAAAGCAGGTCTAAAGCAGGACTAAAGCAGGACTAAAGCAGGTCTAAAGCAGGACTAAAGCAGGACTAAAGCAGGACTAAAGCAGGTCCTTCACTTGTCTCTGGTTGTGTTGTTCAGTCGTTGTGTTGTTGTGTTGCAGGTCTGAGTGTGTTCTTGAGCGGCCTGACTGACGACATGAGAGCCGCACACAGACATCGGCTCTTCAGTGTGACGCACCAGGACCTGGTGGACGTGGCCCACAGGTGACACACACGTCAGACACGCATATACACACACAAACACACACACATACAGGTGAAACACACTCACACACGCATATACACACACACACATACAAGTGAAACACACACAAACACACATACAGGTGACACACACACACGCATATACACACACACACATACAGGGGAAACACACACATGCACGCATATACACACACACACATACAAGTGAAACACACACACACAGATACGTACACGTACACACACATACAGGTGAAACACACACACACATATACACACACACGCATACACACACACACACACACACACACACACAGATACGTACACACAGGTGAAACACACACACAGAACCATGTGTTGTGTGCAGGTACCTGAGCCCGGGCCAGTGCACAGACGGAGCTGCAGTCCTGGGTCCAGAGAGCGAAGTCCTGAGTAAAGACCCGTCCTGGATCATCAAATAGTCTCAGAGTAAAGACCTGGTTCTGGATCATCAAATAGTCTCAGAGTAAAGTCCTGGTTCTGGATCATCAAATAGTCTCAGAGTAAAGTCCTGGTTCTGGATCATCAAATAGTCTCAGAGTAAAGTCCTGGTTCTGGATCATCAAATAGTCTCCGAGTAAAGACCTGGTTCTGGATCATCAAATAGTCTCAGAGTAAAGTCCTGGTTCTGGATCATCAAATAGTCTCAGAGTAAAGTCCTGGTTCTGGATCATCAAATAGTCTCAGAGTAAAGACCTGGTTCTGGATCATCAAATAGTCTCAGAGTAAAGTCCTGGTTCTGGATCATCAAATAGTCTCAGAGTAAAGTCCTGGTTCTGGATCATCAAATAGTCTCAGAGTAAAGTCCTGGTTCTGGATCATCAAATAGTCTCCGAGTAAAGACCTGGTTCTGGATCGTCAAATAGTCTCAGAGTAAAGTCCTGGTTCTGGATCATCAAATAGTCTCAGAGTAAAGTCCTGGTTCTGGATCATCAAATAGTCTCAGAGTAAAGACCTGGTTCTGGATCATCAAATAGTCTCAGAGTAAAGACCTGGTTCTGGATCATCAAATAGTCTCAGAGTAAAGTCCTGGTTCTGGATCATCAAATAGTCTCAGAGTAAAGTCCTGGTTCTGGATCATCAAATAGTCTCCGAGTAAAGACCTGGTTCTGGATCATCAAATAGTCTCAGAGTAAAGTCCTGGTTCTGGATCATCAAATAGTCTCAGAGTAAAGTCCTGGTTCTGGATCATCAAATAGTCTCAGAGTAAAGACCTGGTTCTGGATCATCAAATAGTCTCAGAGTAAAGACCTGGTTCTGGATCATCAAATAGTCTCAGAGTAAAGTCCTGGTTCTGGATCATCAAATAGTCTCAGAGTAAAGTCCTGGTTCTGGATCATCAAATAGTCTCAGAGTAAAGACCTGGTTCTGGATCATCAAATAGTCTCAGAGTAAAGTCCTGGTTCTGGATCATCAAATAGTCTCAGAGTAAAGTCCTGGTTCTGGATCATCAAATAGTCTCAGAGTAAAGTCCTGGTTCTGGATCATCAAATAGTCTCAGAGTAAAGTCCTGGTTCTGGATCATCAAATAGTCTCAGAGTAAAGACCTGGTTCTTGATCATCAAATAGTTTCCGAGTAAAGACCTGGTTCTGGATCATCAAATAGTCTCAGAGTAAAGTCCTGGTTCTGGATCATCAAATAGTCTCAGAGTAAAGTCCTGGTTCTGGATCATCAAATAGTCTCAGAGTAAAGTCCTGGTTCTGGATCATCAAATAGTCTCAGAGTAAAGACCTGGTTCTGGATCATCAAATAGTCTCAGAGTAAAGACCTGGTTCTGGATCATCAAATAGTCTCAGAGTAAAGTCCTGGTTCTGGATCATCAAATAGTCTCAGAGTAAAGACCTGGTTCTGGATCATCAAATAGTCTCAGAGTAAAGTCCTGGTTCTGGATCATCAAATAGTCTCCGAGTAAAGACCTGGTTCTGGATCATCAAATAGTCTCAGAGTAAAGTCCTGGTTCTGGATCATCAAATAGTCTCAAAGTAAAGTCCTGGTTCTGGATCATCAAATAGTCTCAGAGTAAAGACCCGTCCTGGATCATCAAATAGTCTCAGAGTAAAGACCTGGTCCTTCAGAGTTTCAACATAAACACAAACCCAACAGACTGAAAGGAAACTGCTGCAAAACATTAATGAGTTTCTGAAAGACCAAAGAAAACCAAATCTTCCTCAGACTCGGACTTGTGTGAGGAGTGAAGACCTGGTCTGTTCTGAGGAGTGAAGACCCGGTCTGTTCTGAGGAGTGAAGACCCGGTCTGTTCTGAGGAGTGAAGACCCGGTCTGTTCTGAGGAGCTGCTGCTTTTAAACACATTTTGAGAAAAAGCTCACATTTGAGCGTTAAAGAACAAAGGAATCTTCTCTGAAAGATACGGGGAAATGAACCAGCCCTGACCCAGGCCAAGACCCAGTCTCAGGCGTAGACACCTGGATCCTGATCAGGCACACATACACACACTACACATGATTCACAACACAGGTGAAACTACACACACACCCAGTCTCACAGCAGACCCAGACCCAGTCTACCCAGACCCAGTCTCACAGCAGACCCAGACCCAGTCTACCCAGACCCAGTCTCACAGCAGACCCAGACCCAGTCTACCCAGACCCAGTCTCACAGCAGACCCAGACCCAGTCTCACAGCAGACCCAGACCCAGTCTCACAGCAGACCCAGTCTCACAGCAGACCCAGACCCAGTCTCACACCAGACTCAGACCCAGATTGTTTAATTTCTTCTCCGTTGTGAAGAGTAGACCGTTTGTGTTTTTGGACCTGACCGTGAAGAACTGGATCTTCTTATTCTTTTACAGAAACCAGAAAAATCATGAACATTCAGAAAGTTATTGGTTTTTACAGTTTATTTTCCTGTAAATAAAGAATGTGTGAGATTGTTGATACACAAACCTGTGTCTTGTACATTAGTGTTACCTTCTGATTGATTTTAAATATTGTGGTAAATATGGACCATGGCCATGGGTTGGTTATACCTCAGATAATTCCTTTGAGTACAGTACACAAGAAGAACACTTGGAAGTCAGTCAGCAATAACAGGCCCTTTCTCACTCTGGTCCCAGGGAGATCTACTTTATGGGGACAAAAGTGGCAAACATTTTACTAAGAGGGCCACTTTAGTTCACCAGACTAGACAAGGGCCGACGTCACAAACTGAAAAACTGTCTTGACTGTTATCGGGCTGTTCTGAGGTTTATGATGATTTATAACGGAGCTGAAGTTGGCTGAATGACACATGTTTACCAGCTCACGAGTCAACGACTGAACTCCAGACACTGAAAATGTATTTCTTGTGTTATGACTGTCAAAAAAATCGGATTACTTTTGGCAAATTTTGATTGGCATTTTTTCTACCCATGAAATACCGTGTTTTACCCATGAAATAATCTAATAATTTATTAGTCAAAAAAGTAGGTATTTTTTATATTTACTTTGATGGTGGCGAGTGACTGGTTGCTCCCGAACTTTATGTTGGAGACCCATGAAGTAGTTTTATAGGACAACTGGACAAAACCAATGAGGATATAGACAGAAGTAGCAGATATAGATACAGACAGGAGTAGCAGATATAGATAGACAGGAGTAGCAGATATAGATACAGACAGGAGTAGCAGATACAGACAGGAGTAGCAGATATAGATACAGACAGGAGTAGCAGATATAGATACAGACAGGAGTAGCAGATATCGGTGTGAATGGAGATAGAGTAAGAGTGAAATGAGACGCGAGGCTGCAGTTTGATCGTTGACAGTTTTAATAGAAGCACCAGAGACGCCGCTGCTCAAACCTCCGGCTGGTTCAGAGCTACATTGACGTGTGGCAGTGATGGAAATGTGCAGCGGTAATAATTACACTTAAGTTTCTGTAGTTCACACAAAAGCACACGGCACAAACACCACTTTACATCAGCTCCATGAAAAACAAGGTATCGACCTGGAACAGCTTCAAAGAGATTTAGATTTAACACTTTTGCATCGGTAAAGACGCACTTCCTCATGTATCAGCGGCTCCACTCCGAGCTCCTCAAGCATAAAGGCCTAGCTCAGGATCACAAACTTTATATAGATGGACAATGCTAATTCGCTAGCTCAATGAAGCACAATAGGGAAGTGCTCACAGTGAAGTTTGGCTCCTGTTGACCTCTGTGTGAAAGTCAACTCCTCGAGCTCAGTCCCAGTTTGTGTCACATTCACAGTTTTAAATAATCTGGTTTTGTTTTCTCTGTGATCTTGGTGTTTATATTGTGATTCTGTCTTTTGGCAAATCCTTATGGCTCATTTACCACCTGGAGCCTTCTGTCTCAAAATTCAGTTTTGGCAGCGAGTGAGGAGAGACCAGCGCTGCTCCTGATTGGCTCTCGGTATCTGGGCCGTTGCTACCAATAACATTTACGTTCTAACAAGAAAACAGTTGGATTTGATTGGACAGTTTGGACGTTTTACTTTTACTAGACCTCTTTTTCTGTCGGGACGAACTACACGTGTTACTTATAAGAAAGAAAAGTTAGGTACCGTAGCTTTAATTCAAACTCGTCATGGACTGCGTCTTTACCGAAGCAAAATGTTGTCTTTATATAAATCTGGGATCAAGGTGAAAGTCGGCAAGAACTATGATGTCACAGTGAGGTCATGCTCTCGATGACGTCATAGTGAGGTCATGTTCTCTGTGACGTCATAGTGAGGTCATGCTCTCGATGACGTCATAGTGAGGTCATGCTCTCGATGACGTCATAGTGAGGTCATGCTCTCGATGACGTCATAGTGAGGTCATGCTCTCGGTGACATCATAGAGAGGTCATGTTCTCTGTGACATCATAGAGAGGTCATGTTCTCTGTGACATCATAGAGAGGTCATGCTCTCGGTGACATCATAGAGAGGTCATGCTCTCTGTATAGTGAGGTCATGCTCTCGGTGACGTAATGCTCTGTGATATCATCGTGAAGTCATGCTCCCGGTGATGTCATAGTGAGGTCATGCTCTCTGTGATGTCACACGGAGGTGGTGTGGATACAGTCGTTAGCTCCCTGCTCAGTGTTGGAGGCAGTTTTGGTTTGAAGACACTGAAGCGACACTTTTCAACAGCAGGAAATGAATGTGAAATGATGAACAAAATATATATATTTAATTTAAAACAATAAAAAGTGACGAAAAATGTGGCAGAATGTTGAGACGAGGGGAGAAGGGACAGCGCAAAACATTCAACGACGTCAAGGAACACTGTTAAATGTTTGTTGAGGGTTTAAACGTGTGAAAGACGCTCCAGCATTTGTAAAGATAATCTGATTTAACAGATGAAAAATCATTGGTAAAAGTGTGAGAAGTGTGCGATAAACTCATCCAGAGTCTGCCGTTTCTGTGATAGAAGCCGACACTCCTTCACCACAACATGCTGTCAATCTGAACTGTTTTTTTAAATAAAGTTCCACACGCCAAACAAAAAAAAAACATTCAGAGAATTAAAAATATCATTAATCAACAGGTTCTAAAACAACACTTTTTATCCAATTCTAGTTAAAAAATGTGCAGACATAATGTGTCAAGCTATAGACTGTATCCAGATGGACAATGCTAACCCGCTAGCTCAATAAAGCCCTATAGAGAAGTGCCCGTGGACGATGTTTTTCTCCAACTTGCTCTGGCTCCTATCGATTTACATTGAAAAGTAAATCCCTGTTAGCAACACGTCTGCCCCTCGTACAACTCAAGGCTATCGCCGTCGGAGCAGATGCCCATATAAGGAAATCGGCTCCAGCTATCTTATGTTCAAATCAGCTTCATTGGGAAAGCTCTATGGTGATGTCACACTCCTGGTACACAGTCAATGAAAACAAAAGTAATAAAAGTAACTGTTGTGGTGAAAAGGCGGCGGCTCGACTCACAGAAACTAAACGGACATAATGAAAAGTGAAAATCGAACAGGGTGTAGAGTGCGTGTACATCCACTAGGGGCAGTACAGGTCTAAATATGGCTCTGTGGGTGGCACTCTGGACTCGTTTGGTCCTCTAGGGGTCAGTATCCGCACACTTGTGGCTTCCTTGGGCCTCATTCGCACATGTTTGATCAGAACTTAAATATAAAAGGGAAAAAATCCACTGAAAATTAGATAAAACTTAAGTTACTTCCCGCTTTGGAAGATAACTTGAAATTAGTTACTTAACACAAAGACAAAACTACTTTATAATTTCACTAGGGGTCAGTATTGGGTCATTGTTTAGGTCTTTATCTCTGTCAACCGGGTTCTCCTTGGGCCTGACCATAGACTGTATATGAACGGACAATGCTAACCCGCTAGCTCCAACTCGCTCTGGCTCCTATTGACTCACACTCAAAAGTAAACCCCTTTAGATCAGTAACTGTTTGTGTCACACTCAGCATTTTGGGCTTAGAAATCCCCGGTTTAGCTCCCTCTATGATTCTGGAGTTTATATTGCAATATATTATTTGTTAATCCAGATAGGAGCCAGAACAACGGACCAATCAGGAGCCTTCTGTCGCCAATTTCGGCTTTAGCAATGGGGACAGACCTGCGCCGGTCCTGATTGGCTCTTGGTTACTCTGCCGTTGCTACCCACAACATTTGCATACATTTGTCTCCACATTCCCGCTCAAATCGCACGTTTAAGTTAGCTCTAATGGGTCTCTTCCGCATTGAAGCTAACACTATGGTGATGTCACACTCGGTCCACTCCTCATACACAGTCTATGGGTCTGACCAGGGGGAGAGCATGGGGTCAGAATTTGGGTCTAAATCTCCGCAGACGTGTGGCTCTCCTTGGGCCGGACCCGGGTCACGTGCTCCAGCTGTCCCGAGTCGGACACGTCGTAGCTCGTCTTGTATTTGGCCAGAATCTTCATGAGGGGGCGGAGCTTCAGCCACCACTGCTCCTTCGGGATCCGATGACTATGGAAATAAATACGACAAATTAGCCTGGGAACCTTGGGGGGGGTTCCTTTATTAGCCTTTAGCATAAGAACCTTGGCGCGTTTATTAGCCTTTAGCATAGGGAACTGGGGATGTTCTTTTGTTAGCTTTTAGCGAAGAAACCTGAGGACGTTTTCTTATCAGCACTTTAGCAAAGGAACCTGGGGGGATTTATTAGGCTTTTGCATGGGGAACTGCGGTTGTTCCTGTATTAGCTTTTAGCATAGGAACCTTGGGACGTTACTTTGTTAGCTTTTAGCATAGGACATGGGGACGTTCACTTATTAGCACTTTAGCAAAGGAACCTGGAGGTGTTTATTAGACTTTAGCTAATGTGTTGTGGTGTGTTGTTGTGCTGTTGTGTTGTGTTGTCGTGCTCACACAAAGTCCGTCTCCTGCTGCAGGTGCGACAGCGGCTGGAACACCAGAGCCCTACGCCTCATCCCGAGCAGACACGCCGTGTCCTCGGAGTTCGCAAACACTCGCCCTGAAAGCAAGAGGTCACATGACTCAGTACAAGGCCTCTGCCACTGCACTGTGAGAGAGAGAGACCAGAGAGAGACCAGAGAGAGAGACCAGAGAGAGAGACCAGAGAGAGACCAGAGAGAGACCAGAGAGAGACCAGATGGAGACTAGAGAAAAAAACAGACCAGAGAGGGAGCGAGAGACCGGAGAGACCAGTGAGAGGACCAAGGATACCAGAGAGAGAGATCAGAGAGAGACCAGAGAGAGACCAGAGAGAGAGACTTTCTAAAGTAGATTTGCGCATGCAGACACAGGTGGAGACACAGGTGGAGACACAGGTGCAGACACAGGTGCAGACACAGGTGGAGACACAGGTGCAGACACAGGTGCAGACACAGGTGCAGACACAGGTGGAGACACAGGTGCAGACACAGGTGCAGACACAGGTGCAGACACAGGTGGAGACACAGGTGCAGACACAGGTGGAGACACAGGTGCAGACACAGGTGGAGACACAGGTGCAGACACAGGTGCAGACACAGGTGCAGACACAGGTGCAGACACAGATGCAGACACAGGTGCAGACACAGGTGCAGACACAGGTGCAGACACAGGTGCAGACACAGGTGGAGACACAGGTGCAGACACAGGTGGAGACACAGGTGGAGACACAGGTGCAGACACAGGTGCAGACACAGGTGGAGACACAGGTGCAGACACAGGTGGAGACACAGATGCAGACACAGGTGGAGACACAGGTGCAGACACAGGTGCAGACACAGGTGCAGACACAGCCGCAGACACAGCTGCAGACACAGGTGCAGACACAGCTGCAGACACAAATGCAGACACAGGTGCAGACACAGATGCAGACACAGGTGGAGACACAGGGGCAGACACAGGTGCAGACACAGATGCAGACACAGATGCAGACACAGGTGCAGACACAGGTGCAGACACAGGTGCAGACACAGATGCAGACACAGGTGCAGACACAGGTGCAGACACAGGTGCAGACACAGGTGCAGACACAGCTGCAGACACAGGTGCAGACACAGATGCAGACACAGGTACAGACACAGATGCAGACACAGGTGCAGACACAGATGCAGACACAGATGCAGACACAGGTGCAGACACAGGTGCAGACACAGGTGCAGACACAGGTGCAGACACAGATGCAGACACAGGTGCAGACACAGGTGCAGACACAGGTGCAGACACAGGTGCAGACACAGGTGCAGACACAGATGCAGACACAGGTGCAGACACAGATGCAGACACAGATGCAGACACAGGTGCAGACACAGGTGCCGACACAGGTGCAGACACACACCTCCCTTGAAGCTCTCCGTCAGGCTGCGTGTGATCCACTGCATGGCCTTTGCTGCGATCTTTGTGCTGAAGTTTCTGTCGAACGGAGATGGAGCGCCCCCCTGTGGACACAGACAACATTATAATATTTATAATACTGTAGAAGGAATGAGAGGCCGTCGCCATGGTGATAGAAGTAGTTACAGCAGTAGCACGAGTTACAGCAGTGGCACTAGTAGCAGCAGTAGTGGTACCAGCAGTATAAGTAGCAGTAGCAGTGGTTGTAGTAGTAGCAGCAGTACTAGTAGCGGTAGT